ACCCGACCCAACCCGACGCCACAACAAATAATTAAACAAAACTAATTAAGTATTGAACTGGCCGTTGGTAAAAACGGACGACGTTAATTAAGTATTGGTAATAATTTTTTAAACGAAACTAACCACGGCATCTTAGGTAAGGACTGCCTTCGTATCCTTCCTAGTACCTATAGAAATATCCTCCAGAAGTAAGATTGGTATTGTAAGTAATGCAAGAACTATTATTTCCACATGTATAATTAGTGGAATTTTGCTCCACGGTGCATTTATAGCCATCAATTCTCTAGTCCAACACCAATGGCATACCCAAAAACACTTTATTACTATGCATACCCAAAAACACTTTATTACTATGTTACTACGTACGAATGTTGTTGAATCGTCGAGATGAGATAAACTAAAATCGAATTTATCATAATCACGTATCATTCCATCGAAGGCAAAGTTGCACCGAAAATATTTGCTATCTCGACCACAATAACAATGCATGTCTAACAATTCAACTCGGAGATACTCACCTCTGAATATGGAGGTTCGACAGCAGACCCTTCCTGGACATGAACCAATAAGATTATAATCAGGAAGTCCATCACAGTATGACGCACAAGCACCACCGTCAAAAGTATGTGTTAGGTATGAAAGTTGTGAAGCCAATGCCAGGTCATCGTAACTAATGGATGTGATCTGATTTGAGTCTGCCAAGGTATACGGAGCATCCAAATGTTCCATTGATAAAGTAAAATTCTCCACCTTGTTATTGAATCCCATTCCATAGCAGGCCATTACCAGTTGTGCCTTCGAGTTCTTAAGATAGGTTTGGGTTTCTGAGATATTAACAACCTCATAGGAATATTTTTCATAGCGAACCAAGAGGTGGGGTTTTGAAGGGTTGAAAGAAATATTGCAGTTGATATTGATGTGCATGTTCCTAGAACATTTGATGCAATACCAAATGGGTATGGAATTCCTAGGTTTCCACATCTACTTTGGCAGCCAGGTTTAGTGGTGGTGGTGGTGGTGGCAACTCCAGCAGCATTTGGCAGTAGTGTTACCATTAGTGAAAAAAAGCCGAAGATTTGGAGCAAAATCGAATGCACCAGCATGTTTTTCCAAAAAAGAAAAAGAACCAGGCTAATAATCTATGCATGCTAAACAACAGTTGAGATTTATAATCCCATTGATCTTGCTCCGAATAAATTTCAATTTAGCTCCAAAAATGTCATTTTCATGGCAATTTCATCCAAATACATTCGAGTTAGAATTTACTTACAATAATATATTTACACGTAAAATAGGGATAATTTTATATGTATATAATTGGATACACAACCTTTTATAGAAGAATGATGTGGCGCTATTTTAAAATTTAAAAAAAAAGCCACTTATGTTGACTGCTCAAAATCTCTCCTGCCTTGTTTTTAAAAAGAAAAAAAATTAATCAGCACATACTCAGTCTCTCTCAGACTCAGTCTCTCTTCTCTCTCATACTCAGTCTCTGTATCTCTATATGATGCACTTCTTTTTTGTTCAAAATCAATAAAGTAAGCTTTGGAATGAAAGAGGATTTGGTGACCAAAGAATTAGGCCTATGTGAGACCAAAATTTGGGTCTATGCGACTGCATAGGCCTATGTGGCTTGCGGTTGCATGGTGACATGCCCTGCTTGATATTGACCTATACAACTGGATAGAATTGTTCTATGCGGTCGCATAGAACAATCAGCTAGCCGTTAAGGTCCGTTTTATTTGAATTTTTTCGTAACCTTTGTCTGTGTTTTGGCACCATTTCATGTAACATTGATTGAGGCCTATAAACAAGTGGTTAATGATCAATACCAAATACATAAAAAATACTTGAGATAAATTTTCATTACAAAAAGATAGAATTATCATTTCTCTCTTCGTATTTAAAATCTTATTTTGTATTATTGAGTTTTGAAGGAATTTCACTAGTGCTCAAGTGTTTATATCTTTACAAGGCTTGATAAATCCTGTAAACCATTTGCCAATAATCCATTTAAGCTTCAAATTCAA